TTTTTTTAAGTTTTAAATAATTCATAAATTATTTATAGTCAATATATTTTTAAAATTTTACATTCAGTTGTACAGAAATGATTGTTTCGAGAATATACTTTAAATTTGGATGATCAAAATACCAAAATTTCTCCCAATTAATCCTTTTTTGAGGACTGGTTTGGGAAAACATCTTATTACATAGAGATAAATCAAATACATTTATAAAACTTAAAAAAAATTTAAATTTCAAATCAAATACACATCTTTAATTAGAAAAACCATTTTGGGAAAGTATTTCATTATAAATGATTATTTTAAGAATTGATTCTAAATTTAGCAGAGAAAAAATACCCTCAATTTATCCTCATTTGAGTAACATTATTTACGAAGGATCATCTTGGGAATAAATCTCAATTATAGAGGACTACATAGGTAATTAAAACTTATTGAGGACTATTTTGGGAAAACACTTTATTACAAGAGACTATTTTGGGAATAAATCTCAATTATAGAAGACCACGTAGGTAATTAAAACTTATTGAGGACTAATTTGGGAAAATCCCTTATTACAAAGGACTATTTTGGGAATTTACTCAAAAAAAATGAGTTAGTCTTGAAAAAAAGACTAAAGTAGGAATAAAAGATTGAAAATATATCAAAATAGGATTCTCATATTTTGATTCTCAAAATATTTTGGCCCAAAACCAAACTCCACGGTCCAGATAAACTCAAGGGGGTCCCAAAAGGACGAGCTCGGTTCACTAGGCTCGGCTCGGTAGACGTGTCCTGGGCTCAGCTCGGTCCTTGAGCTTCCAGCCACTCTGGTCGGCCCTTAGAAGAAATCAATATATTGATCTGCCCACCACGTGAGCACATCGATGGAGGTCCAGACGTCTCGCTTGCCTCCAATCACCAAAGACACGGGCAAGATAACAAGGACTAAATGACAAAGACTGAGTGACAAGAGTTAAACGATAAAAGTGTCAGTCACAGTGGTTACCATTGTAGTACTATTGAGCCTATAAATAAGCTAAGACTTTCTCATTGTAACGGATCCGAATCTAAGGTAGCAATACTCCTGTATTGCTCTTTCTCTCAACTTTCCTAGCTTACGTGGCTCACTGACACCATGATCGACATACTCGGTGGTTTATTGCCATCACATATCTTATTCGTTTTACTAATAACATACCCATAACATCTTACTTTTATCTATCACATCAAGAAAAAAATTGGAAAGTCGACTCTAAATTACTCCTCTTTGTTTTTGTCCAAAGTCAATATATGAAGTGTTTATAAAAACGAAAGGAGTACATAGAACTATAGAAGTAGTCAATATTATGTACTTCCTCTGTTCTAAAACTATCTTCCCAGTTACTATTCACACGGTCAAACTTAAATCACTCTTTATTTATTTTCGTTCTTTATTTGATAAAATAATATAATATTGTCTCCTCTTGTTTTGTAGAACTTTTTATATAGTTTTTAGCCAAACTTTTTTAAGACAAAAACAGACGCACTCTAAAAAATGAGCAATTTTAATATTATTTTTTAAGTATGACTCATCAATTTTATACATTATATCCTACTTTCTACTTTATTACTTGTATAAAGTAAAAGTAAATTAGAAAATGATACCAAAAACAACATTTTAGGGGCGCCTTTTCCCATCTTTGGTGTTTTGGTCAGGTTTGATCCAAAAATCAAGTACGTTTAGGTTTGGTTATTAGGTTGTGATTTTGTTCAATTTAGTTTTCGGCTTAGTCTGATCTAAGGCCTACATAATACTCCCTCCGTCCCCCAGTTTTTGTCCACTGTTCATCTAAGCGTTTTGACTCATCAAATTTTCTCAATGTGTAAGCCTACATATAGTCATGTGTGATCTTGTTTGATTTGTCTTAACATATAGATTATTAATATATAATTTCTATAATTTTTTAATATACAAATGACAAGATAAAATGGATTAGCATTTGATGCTGTGTAAAAATGAAAGTGGACAAATACTCTAGGACGGAAGGAGTAACAATGTTATTTTAAACATCAAAAATCTCAAGAATGAATATTCAATTGTTTAAGAGTACATTTTTACTCGGTAGTTACTACTCCCTCCGTCCCAGAAAGAATGCCACGTTTACTATTCTGGCCTCTCAATAACTTTTGTTTGTTTACTCGTTTTGGTTGACTATTTGATAAAATAAAATATTCTTGTCGCATCTTGTTTTGTAGAGCTTTTCATATACTTTTAAATGGTGTAATTTTTACTATTTATTACTCTACCAATTTGAAATTAAAATGATTTTAAAAGAGATGATATTTTGCACGTCGTTCGAAGTGTTGCAAATAAATTGGAACGGAGGGAGTAACAAATGACCACTCATGATGGATGTACAAGAAAGACTTTGTACGGTAGGGTATATGTTGTGACTTCAGATTAGGCAATGAGTATCCTCCCTAGGGTATATGTTGTGACTTCAGATTAGGAACCCAATCGTGCCATGGGTACACCACTTTGTACCCCAGTGGTGTACCCCATATACCCCCACCCCTTGCGTAAGTTAATCCCACCCAACCATTTTTTTGTTTTGTCTCTCTCTTCTCTCCCCTATCCTCTGTCCTCACCCACCCCGTCTTTCCCCCCTTTTCTTCTTCCATTTCCTGCCCAAGGAATCCATTATTCCGGCGAAGGCGTGCGAGTGGTGCGACGGTGTGTTGCTTCACCGGAAAAAGAAATTGAAGAACGGCCTTCATCGGAAAAAGGAATGAACCAAGGTGGGGTAAGTGAAGAACGATGGGGCAAGGTAGATGCATTCCCAACGAATATTTTAGATTCGATGCTTAACCACGGGAGAATGTATGAAGCTACATCAACATCTCCTCTTATCGCAGGTTAGTATTTATTTCTTATTGCACTAGCATGAAATGTTTGTGTTATGTTAGAGTCTAGTTTTAAACAGGCAGAAAGTGTTCGTTCATTGAAAAGACTTTGTTTTCTTAGGCATTTATTATCTGCTTTCAGGTAAACTTATTTTGCACCAGCAATTAGGTCAGTGCAATAGGGTAGTATGTAGGTTTCACCTACAGATACTGTTAGGTCGGACATTTATTCTCTGCTTTTAGTTTATTTGTTTTGCACCACTAATCATGTTTGTGCTATGAGGTAGTATGTAGGTTTCACGTACAGATATTGTCAGGATCAGCATTTATTTTGTTTTTTGTTATGTTTTGCACCAGCACTTTATGTCTGTGCAAAGTAGTATGTAGGTTTCACCTACAGATAATGTCAATTTGATTAAATGTGGTGAGCTTTTTTAGAGATGAATGTGAAGCACACCATAAATTGGGAGACTTGCATCTGCAGCGGTTTTTGGAGACTAGTGCAAACACCATAAATTGTAAGTTGTACATATGGAGTTGTTTATGAAAAACTGAATGGACATTGACATTTATGTACGTGCAACTCTGTCAAGGGTTGCCTACACAGACAGTTTATGTAGGTGCAAAACAGAAGAGTTGACATGTAGTGCTCGGTGTGCAGGTTTGGAAAGTAATGTTGACCTCAAGGTGAACAAGACCAAGCGGGGAAACCCTGAAAAGCCATCGATGACCCTTCGTCCAAACATTGGTGACATAGGAAGTGAGAATTTGCCTACGTGGGAATGGCCGGGAGAAGATGTGTGTTACTGTTTATGTTCTACACACCAACACTTAATGTATGTGTGCTAATTTTTCTATTAAATACACCCAAATGTAAACATAGGAAGTGTTACTGGTTGGGTTGAATAAACCAACCCTTAATATGTGCTTTGTACTGAATCAGTTAAATACACCGACACTTCATATATGTGTGTTACTGTTTCCCTTCAATACACCGACACTTAATGTCTGTGTCTTCTTGTTTCTGTTAAAAACACCATAATTTTTATTTTAACTCTCATAAAAATAATTTTGGAGTGAAGATATTTTTGTCATCCTACAATAATTCCTACGACTCAAATAAATAAAAAGTCTTCGGAAATCTTCTACTCCTCCGAGTCCTCCATTAGGCGCTCCGAACGCATCTCGGATTCCAATAAAATCCTGTGGAAGACAGTGTGTACGACCTCACATGCGTTAATCTAGATCTCAGATTATGAGTATTAATTTGATTTGTATGATTACAATTCTTTGCCCATACTAACACAAATTGCTTGTGTGTAGCTGTTATCCTTCATCTATTTATGTGTTAATGTTTGATTTCTTCTTGGCCATACTAGTGCATGATGCATGTGTTTGAGTTCTTGATATACACCAATAATATGTGTCAGGCTTGTATGCAAGCAGATTTGAAACCGAAGACACGACATCTTGCATTGGAGAAACTTAACAGTATAATCATCATGGTAACAATTGCCACACAAGGACAGTGTCAACATTATATTCACTTTAGTCAAAACTCGAGCATAAGTGTGAAACCATAACATTGGCACATAGTGTTTGTGCACAACAAAAAAATAGTAACAAATTTTTATATTAGTGAAACCCGAGCATTAAAAGACACAAATACATAACATTGACACGGAATGTAGGTGCATTGAATGAAAACAATAACACACAGTCATATTTTGCTAATATGGACAGAGAAGTGTCATCCTACAAACATTCATAATCTAAGATCAATGTTTTTAATGAGTACACATTTGCACAAAATTTGCTGGTTCAATGAGCTCAAGTTGCTAAATGTGAGACATATTTGGTTCACTTTAACTAGAATATACGGAGTATAAATTAGTGATCACAAAACATGGCACATAGTGTAGGTGCACAACAAAAAATGATAGTCAAAAGAGTCTTATGCTAGTTAGCCCAGCAGAAAAGGACACAAATACATAAAATTGGCACTAAACGTATGTGTTTTGAATGAAAGCAACAATACAGAGTCATTTGTGTCCGTATGGATTGAGAAGCTTGATCCATATCCAAGAACAAAAGCATAGCAGAGACCTTCAATTTCAAAAAAAAAAAAAAAATCAACTCAAAATGTAAAAGAAGTTTGCTCCAGCACTCATTTGGCATTCATGTCATCTTAACACTTCTTCTAACGCACAAATCTTCAACCCTGTCAAAAATGGTTGTCCAGAACAGATAGAAGTACCATTTAAGAGCCAGTTAATAATTTTAAAAAATGTCTATCATGACACTCTAATTATTTTGGCGCCTATTTATTTTTTTTAATTTACTATATGCACCAATAAATACATGTCTCCATGAACAAATATTTAGCCTATTTTTCAATGAAGATTTTTTGCGGTTTTATGATATTACAGGTTCTGTATAATTTAAGGAGAACACAAATGAAAAAATCTGCAAAAAATCTTCATTGACAGGTTCTGTATAATTTTGTATAACAGCAGCATATAGTGCTAGTGTATAGCAGAGAAATAAAGTCACACAAGCATTTTAGTGTCAGTGTGGGCAGAAGATATGTTACCACAAAAACACCTAGATATTCAGTGCCATTGACAAACATGTTCAACAAAAATCAAATGCTGACAATAGTTATACCCTCAAATCAATTCACGGGCATAAAAATGAAATTTTTTTAAAAAATAGGATTGACAAAAACAAATCACAACAATTACAAAGGTTTAAGTGATTGAATTTGGCCTTACAAACAAAACCCATAAAATTAAAATAAAAAAAAAGAGTGTATCATTACCTTTAAATTGTGGTTGCACCGGTGGTAGCGGCAGCGCAGACGAAGGAGGATGGCAAAGTAGGCAATCGGGGTGATTGGCGCAGTGGTGATTCTTCTATGGCGGAGAAGGGGAGCCCGCGCCGTGCAAATTTTTGGGAGGCGATCGAAGAAGACTGGTACTGCGGTAAAATTGATCGGTAATATTGATAGAGAGAGAGAAGCAAGGAGGGTGATTGGTGAACGAGAGAGAAAGAGTATGGGGTGGGTGGTGCAGGAAAGGAAAGAGGGGGAGGTATTGGGTGGGGCTGGGGTGGGTTTATATATGGGGTATAATTTGGGGTATAATTTGGGGTGCAAGTAGCAAAATCCTTAGGAACCACAACACTACCCTACAATTATGCCTTCGAGATGATAATGATACTCCATAATAATGTCGTTGAACCCAAGCCATTCGTGCACCATACATGCAAATTGCAAATCAATCACTATATGCCCCCTCAACCTATCCCCGAGTTACGGAGGGGGAGGGGACGCCTCCACTTTTACCCAAAGTATTCACTCTAACTGTCCAATAAAATTCTGCCACCTCATAACTATTCAAACTAAAATGTAGATGGAGTGCCTTACCCAAACTAATCAAGTACTCATTTTATACATTTTGAATTCAAAAAAATGAAATACAGTTCATTAATTAAAAAAACAAAATATATTTCACTAATATAAGAGCTATTTATCGAATACTTTTCTAAAACTGAGCAAATATTTTTGGACTATTTATGAACTATTATTTCTAAACATTACCGTGTAAATATATTTTTATTAAATGAAGGAGGGAAAGTAAAAAAAAAAAGTGATTCTTTTAAAAAACCAGGGAAGGGCTTAAAGCCCATCCCAAATACAAGTACACGACACGTCTGCTCCCTTTATTTGGAAAAATACGTGTATGCCACCAACAAAGAGGGGGTGGGGTGGGGGGTTCATAGTGAAGTCTTTTATCAAAATCAAAAACATAAAATGCAAATTTCCAAATACATCAAATCTCATGCACTTTTCTTCACCTCAGCGGACTTGATGATGTCAATGAACTCCGGCTGCATATATAAAGATAAAAGAAATATTAGAAAGTGGTTTTTAATACTTTATGGCATTGTTTGGAAACAAAGATTTCAGTTAGTATTTTGAATATTATTATTTTAATGATGCAAATTAAGTATGAAAATGTTAAAACTAAATGCAACAATTAGAAACAAAACGCTAAAGCCATTGCCAAATTGGCCTTTTATACATTTTCTACTCCCTCCGTCCCAAAAAGTTTTGCCCATATTGACTGACTTTCAGAGTTAAAGAAAAAGTTGAAAAGCGTATGGCTAGTAAGAGAGAAATTTTGTGATCAACAACATATTCATTACTTTATATATATATATATTCATTACTTTATATATATATATATATATATATATATATATATATATATATATATATATAGTTGGAAGAAGTGTTTTTGAGACTTTCAAAAAGATATTGGGAGGTTAAAACAGATTTTGTCTGGATAACTAAGTACCTTGAGAGAAGCTCCTCCTACCAGGAACCCATCAACATCGGGCTTTGCAGCCAATTCCTTGCAATTTGCACCACTAACCGATCCTGAAAAAAATTGGGAAAAACTTATTTAGTCTTAATAAAAAGCGGACTAATATTCCGCATGTTATATGGCTCACAAGTCACGACTAAAATGTGACTTCCACTTACAATCCCAGCTTTCATTTTACATGTGTATAACTGGTTACTATGTACCATTGCCGCTTTGAGGACTCATCTTCACAAAGTGATTATATATATATATATATATTCATGTGTGTGGACCAAAATTTTAAGTTTTCAACAAAACAAGCTCACAAATCACGGCAGGACAGCTACATTTCCATTAAGGGCACATAGCCAAAAGACAGAACCCAAAGGCACACGCCAACACCAAAACTTCTCGCTGCAGAGAGATTGACTTAGCCGACCTAAGTCTATAACCTGCTGGGTTGAACCCATCTTTGCCAGGCCAACCCCTGTAACAAGCTGAATCCCAAAGGGTACCCCATCATAACTGAAGCACTAGCCTGGGTCATCCCGCCTCCTGAGACAGCAAGCTGATGCCACAGCCTAGACCCATAGGTGTGTTTGTGTGTGTCTATATATATAAAATCACTTTGTAATTTATCAAAACAAAGGAAAATTGGTATACTTTTGCATATACACAAAGCATCCAAAGGACCCAATCTCCTAAGACTTGACCGATTGTGAATTCGAAGTGATGTGAAGTATTGTGACCGAATATTTACCTCCATAGATGATCCTAGTTGAGGAAGCCACATCGGAACTCACATTTGATTCAAGCCATTTCCTCAGTTCAGCATGTACCTGTTATGCAAACTTCAATTTTATAACCCCCGGATTCCCAAAAAATGCAAGTTTCAATTAAAAAAGAGAGAATCATCACTCTCTTGAGAACCAACATGCCCTTTTCTGTCAACAAAAACAATAAGATGCATCTTCTCATTCACAATCAAAATCCAATCTACATAGTGTTTTAAAATGGTGTTCATCTAATTACATGTGACCTAACTTTAGTCTGGCCACATACCAAGGACTTCCCTTTAAAAAAAGTATTATATAGCACCTCACAATCCTAACAACAGCTTGGTGAAATCCCATTAGCGGGTCTGGGGATGAACACATGTACACAAACAATGGCCGTACCAAAAGTGGTAAAGATGTTTTCGATAGAACCCCACACCAATAAAACAAACTAATATTACAGTACCTCACATCCCGTAATTAAAAAAATGCCATTGATTATTTTTAAAAGATCCACAAAAATATTCTTTATATTTGCAGACCAATATGTTTCAAGGGATTTTCCAGAAAACTAATATGGAGTATCTTCTTGTAGCCTGTAATCCCTCAACATATGATTTCTGCTCGTGATAGGACACATCTATGATCAACCTAAATTAGAGGTCCAATGAAATATTACCGAGCACTCATAACCATCGGACTTGAAAGCTAAACAAGTTTATATGCTTCTTCCGTTCAAAAATATGTTTCACACTTTTTTTTTCTGCCAGTCCATCCCAAAATAAACATTACACTTTTTCCTATTAAAGCATGAAACTCTGACTGGCAAGATTTAATCCTCCTCTAAAGAAACTTCAATCAAACACTTCTTTTACTTTTCAACATTTTTCTTAAACTTCCGTAAAGTCAAGCCATGAAGTATATTTTGGGATGTACAGAACAACAAAATATGATCTCTACAATAGGGTTTCTGTTATAGCATTCATGCAAAAATACGGAGTATCATTTACATATGAACCCAAATGTTTAAACCACTTTTCAAGAAAATCGTACACCTCAGAGAAGAGGGAAAATGCATTGAGAATCAACCAGTTCTGCCAAAAACATTTATAATAACTTAACAGCAAAATATTTAAACTTACTTCTTGGGCCTGAGCAGGTGTGGCAACCTTTCCAGTTCCAATTGCCCAAACAGGCTCATAGGCTATGACAACTTTAGACCAATCTGATACTTTATCTGCAATTCAAGAGATGACACAAATAAGAACTGAAAGACTACACAGCAGGTGATGGTTATTGCATTCATCTTTATATGAAACTTAGACATTCAGACCAACTGAACGCTCAAAAAATTGTAACTCAAAACATGCTAATATAGCAAGCATGGTAGTCAAACTCGAGATTCTACGTTGGATTGCTAGGCCTAATGAAGATCGTAACATCGCGACTCAGATCGTAAGATCCTACTTTATATACATACATACATGCGTGTGTGTGTATTCACAAATCACTTAAAACATTATTCTAAAACATCTAAAAAGTACTCCCTCCGTCCCAGAGTATTTGTCCACTTTCATTTTTACACACCATCCAATACACTTCTTTAATCCATTTTATCTTGTAATTTGTATATTAAAAAATTATAGAAATTATTTATTAATAATCTATATGTTAAGACAAATCAAACAAGATCACACATGAATATATTTAGGTTTACACATTGAGAGAATTTGATAAGTCAAAGTGCTTAGATAAACAGTTCCAAAAGTCAAAAGTGGACGAATATAGCGGGACGGAGGGAGTATGTGAAGATAAAGGTAATACATTAAAAAAGAAACTTGACAAAAAAAGAAACACTGGCAGTAGGTAGTAGTGAATGAAGCCTAAAAGGAGTAAAATTTAAAAAGAATCACTTCCAGTATGTAAATACTCATATTTTAAAGCTAATCAAATAAAAAGAAACTTGACCAAAATAGAGTGAAGCCTAAAAGAGAAAAAAAACATTAGGAAAGGTCGAGTAAAGTGATAAAATTTGTGAGAGATGCTGTATTGCCGCTTGCAAAGGGCAGTAGCCAGTAACGGATCTGGGGGCGATGGATGCTGTGCGAAGTAAAAAAAAGTGACGGCACGAAACAAGTTGTTTCACATTTCCGCTTGTGGATCCCTGTTTCCAATCGTCGATCTCACTCAATTATTCTATTCTACAATCCAAATCATTGATCCTTACGATCCTGAGAAGAATTGTGATTTTCCAAACGGGTCAGATCGGAAACACCCTGGCAATCTGCTTAATCATACAATCGTACGATCCAGATCGTGATCTTGACTACCATGATAGCAAGTGTGCAGAAGTGCACAGCTTTTAAAACTGATGGTAGGCTATATGTTAAAAAACCAAGTTCTTCTGGAAAGCAAACAAATAATGCATTTACTACAGGTGTTGCATATAAAAGGCACAAACAGATAGACAAGCGTGGATTGAATTCTCACATAAAAATGAGAGATTTTGAGAGAAAATGCTACTGACAAAACATTGTAAGTGCATTCGTGATTTATGTTTCATTAGCCCTTTTTGACCCCTGAAAAACTGACATCCCAGTAACAAGTAGTGATTAGTGAACTAGAAGTGAAAGAGATACTCGTACAAGAGATATTATCAACTATTATAAAAGTGAGTCGGTGATTCATCATGTATATAGAGCAATGAAGAGTACCATAGTTTTTATGCATTCATTAGGACTTAGCAGTCAAAGTACCTGCAATTGCCTTTGTTTGTGCAGCAACAACAACCATGGTAGTTCCTGCTTCTCTCTGTTCAAGTGTTTCTCCAACACATGCAATTACCTTCAAACCTTGAGAGAGAGCATATGCTACTTTGTCCCCAATAAACTGTCATTGATTATTTGGTCATTTACTCAATTGAATCATATGTGAAAGCATGAGAAAACAACATTTTCTTCGCACTTGAAATAGATTACCTCGTTTGATTCGCCCAAGATAAGTCTTCTTTCTGAGTGACCAAGAATGACCCAAGGGATATCCAGGTTGACAAGCATTTCGGCACTATAAACAAAAAATAAATATAAACAATGTGAGTAGATTATAAAATTGTATTCAGAAAAATAAAAGAAACCATTGAACATCTGCATAGATTTGATACAAATTAAAAAAGGTCATATCCACAAAATAACCAATCAAACAAACAAAAGATTCTATATAAAAGAGTATGGGTATGATAACATGACAAGGGACACTATCATAAATGAGCAATCAAAAGCTGCACTTAAGGTCTCATACCTAATCTCACCGGTGAAAGCACCACCTTTCTTAATCCAACAATTTTGGGCAGCCACATGGAAATCAGGTCGAAGAGAACTCTTTACTAATGGAAGAAACACAAATGGGGGGCTTACAACAACCTCTGCAAAACAATGGGGTTAGCGTGAGTACAAACAGAAGCGAGAACACTCGGTATAGAAATCTTCTTGTTCAAAAAAATTTAAAAAAAAAACTACGAATATATCTACCCTTCACTATTAATACCACTTTCAGCATCACTATGAGAGGAAAACCTATGTTGCACCAAGACGATGACGGGTACTTGGAAGGTGGAAGCATGAAAACGCCAAATTTTCTAAAATTTATAAAGGATTTGGGTGTTGAGATGTCTTCAAGTACCCAACCCGAAACGTCTAAGGAACGAGGAACGACACTTATTTGAAGAATCCGTGCAACATAGGTGAAAACATCCTTACTTCTATAGCAAACCAAAGATAAACCACCAAAAACAACAAAAGGCTACACAACCTAATTGCCTAAATTTTTAGGCACCAGAAACATTAGCAATGTCAAACAAAAGCATGTTACATGTTCAAAATTTGTCCATTACACTATTTAGAAAATACAACCATTTTGGACAAAGAAAACCATATAAAAATCAGAATGAAGGTTTTAAAAGATCTCGGCAATCTCAGTACGGAGAACATTTACCAACAACATCCTGAGGCGGCACTTCGCCTGCATTGAGTGTTGAGACAATCTTCTTCACCTCTTCACTCGTTCCATTCTACAGTTGATCATCACAAAACAAATCCAGATTTCAGAGTAATAACAAAGGCCGGTAATAAAAATTGATCCATAATCATCAACCAAAGGGTCAAAACTTCAAATCAATAAGCACATGTAGCGCATATATAAGCTAAATCAAGATCTACATTGTTCGAATAGACTAATCAGTAATAACATTGAACTTTGCCTCCAAAATACAAGTGATTGCTACCGAACGTCTAGATAATGCAATGATGTATGCGACCATAGATAGGACAAGCTAAACCACTAACAGAGCAAACCGGGTTTCAAATACAGATCGGAAAAGATCAGCAGGTACAAAATGTAATAGGAACTCACGCATTTCCAGTTACCGCCGACGAAGAATTTCCGGCCCATATCCGATGACGAAGACGGCGTCTGCTACAAGATTGCTCTGCAAGAAAAAGGGTGTAGATAAAATCGATGAAACGATCTCTAATTTGTGGATCAAATGAGGATTATAAAGGGATAATAATAATACTCGGATACTCCCTTCCTAAAATAAAAAATACGGAGTATTAAAATAATTTTGCTTTCCTCCCCCAAAAGTTTTCTCATTTTCATTTTCTTCCCAAACCCTACTTGGACTGATATTGTTGGTGTTCTATTGTTTTTTTCTTTTAAAACATTTTTTATTAAAATATGGAATACTTCTTTTTATTCTAAAAAATTTGATATTTATAATGTCTTTTCACCATTTTTCTTAATAAGTTTTTGACTCAATAAAAAATGCATTGTTTTATATAATTTTGTCATATTTAATTTATAAGTTTATTGCGAACGCCTTTGTATTCCAACAACATTACTCTGACTCTTCCAAATGTGAGATCACATGTTCAAACTTCAAACTGTGTTTTAGGCCCCGTTCCGTTTAACTTATTTTTTCTTATTTTTTCTTATTCTTATTAAAATCAGATCAGATCAGATCGAATCAGATCAGATCGAATCAGATCAGATCAGATCAGATCCAATCAGATCAGATCAGATTCATTAAGATCAGATCAAATTAGATCCAATCAGATCAGATCAGATCCAATCAGATCAGACCAGATCAGATCAGATCAAATCAGAACTTATTGAAATCAGATCATATCAGAAAAAATAAGTTGAACGGAACGGAACCTTAATAGGTTGGCAAAAAATTACTCTGAATACAATAACAACAATTCAGTTAAGTGAGTGTAAGCAAACTTACCACTACTCGAAAGTATAGATTTGTTTCTAAAAAGACATTCGGCTCAAGCATCAATATAATCATCTACGCAACCTCGCTCTCATTTAAAAAATACAAGTTGTTTTTGAATGATCTAAAATTAGTATTGATAATTCCATTGACTAACTATTGTCTCACTATTAAAATAAAAATATTCAATTTAGAATGTCATTTTACTTTATTTCGTCATACCTTATAGTAAAAAACTAGTGAATCTTAACTCTATCAAGACGATGAAAACATAGACAAAAAATGTGTATGAGCAAATCATATATTATAACATAGTTATTAATGATAATAAATATATAAAAATTATTTATTAACATCAATTTCTAAATAAGTTTAACTAATCATTCTATTGTGCCATTTAAGAGAATGATATTTTTATGTTGACTTTTCAAAAATACCCTTAATGTGATAAATAAAATTAGAATGTGATTTGTAAACCATTACTAAAAAGGTGTGGTGAAATATGTAGGGTAAGAATTAACATAGGTAAGAGTAATTTTTTAATAAAAATTAGAAGGCTTTTACGGAACAAGTAAAAAAGGAGAAAAAAATTGTGAGACGGAAGAAGTAAAAAATTAAATTTGTCAAAATTCTTTTCTTCATCTTATATACTCTCAGATAATCTTATATACTTTCTCTGACAATTTCTCCGGCGACAAATCTTAGATAATCTTATATACTTTCTCGTACTATCTGATCTGAATCTTTAGGATTTTATTCAAATTATTTTGAAATAATTGAGTTTGAATAAAAATGTGTAATAGTGGGACTGGTCCCAAGGATTTATTGGCTTAGGCCGAGTCAGAAAAAATAACCTTTTGCTCGATCTATCGAACTAAATTATATGGATTATAAATTAACTTTGTTTTTTGTTTTTGAACATATAAACTAAATTTGTTCAAACTACAACTAATAAAGGGTGCAATTTAAAAAGGTATTGCTAAATTCACTTCAAAAATGGTTATATCCACTTTTTTCTTATATTTGCTAGATCAACACCATTAATATAATTTCAACATTGATGTGGATTTAGAAAACTTAAGTGAAAGGGGTGGATATAGCAATTTTTGGTGTGGATTTAGTAACAACCTTAAAAAAAGTTTTTTATTTTAAAAAATACTCCGTATCATATATATACTACCACCACCTCAAAGTTAAAGTTGTTATATACTCCGTAGTTTTGACTTTTTACAGTTAAAATTGATAAATTTTGACCCACTAATTTAATAAAAATTCTTTTAGATATTGATACAAGAATATATACATTATCTTGTAAAATAAGTTCAATATATTGTTCATCTCATTAATGTATCATGTATTTTTTATTTAATTAAAGATAAAATATTATTTATTATTGATTACAAAAATTTAACATTGGATAAGTGTTATAGGAAGAAGGGGGCATTAAATGGGCCCACAAAAGGGCTCGGACCAGCAGGTCTCATTGGCCCAGACTCCAAATAAATACTCCGTATATATTGTGATTTTTTAGATACATCAAAAATTAAATGAATGTAGCATAATTGTTGTTATATTAATTAAAAATCCAAGGCGTAAAAAAAGATAATTATGTAATAAGACGCAAAGAGAATAAAATGATTTTAAATAATTATATGTCATAAAAATAAATGTATAAATATAAAAATGATAAGTTTATATATTTTGGAGTATTTGTGATCTAGCAAGTTATTGGTGGCATTTTTACATTGTCAAAGAAATTAGTCAAAAGAGAGAGATCGCATTATTGGGGGATGGCAAACTCAGCTAAGCCGTCTTTGTATAATGAATTTGAGTACGAATTTTCCCTTGTAAGGCGTCCAAATCCATTTTCCACCTTTCCGCCTCACATCCCGATAATGACCCTACTTGGGCGCCACGGTTGATCCTTACAGGCGCCTTTTTCGTCCATTCCATTTCCGTATACAGTTCTATATAAACTCATCTTGCTCCTCACATTTCCAGTCCGTTGCGATATTAATCTCATCCTTTTCAGCTGAAAATTCTCAGATTGTATCTCCGTAATCTGAGAGACTCTGAATTGTGCGGAGCTAATTAATGTTCAATTAGTATTTTACGAATATCATTTGAATTCATAGTTTTTTTTTTTGCGTAATCTCTGCCATTTGAATAGAAATTCGGTGGATTTTCTATTGATTTGTTGTTTACCGCCGGCGATTAGAGTTTTTTTGCTTTGAATTCTCCGGCAAACCCCGCGATTAGAAAACATTGGCCGTGCAGCGGTGGTTGTATGGGGATGGATTGTAGAGTTTATGCTGCTCCGGGAGAAGCGTGGTTGGGAGTGGCCGGCGGTGGAGCAAGTGGCGGTCGCGTTGGAGGTCTGAGGCGGATGGCAGATGGGTTCAGCTACGACAGCGAGAACGATTTGGCAGCCATGGTTAGAGATTTCGTGGAGAGTGGAAGCGGGGCGGAGACGGATTCGATCTGTAGCACTGATAGCGATTCCAGTTTCTGTGATCTAGCTCACCTCGCAGACAAAATCTCGGTCAGTTTTTTCTTCGCCTATTTCCCTTTTTCAATCATCTGTAGTGTCGCCCTGGACTTTTTGTTCTGTTCGTTGAATTTTAATCATTGCAAGTTTCTACTTTTTCCCATAGGATGAGTTATTGATTTTTACTGTTTCATTGTCCTTTTACAGATTTCTAATCTGAGATTTGTTTCTACTTGAACATTCATTTTGCATATGAGCATTAATTTTTTCGAATCGGGTTCACAACATTCAATTCTGCGTACACACACTCTCCCCAGACCATACTTTCGTGAAATCTAATTGGGTTGTTGTTCTTGTATGCATGACATGTGCCAAAAGAATTGTGATTTTCTATGAAGGAGAGAAGAAGCTCACAGAATGGTTCTTAAACTTTTTTTGCAGCATTTCAAGTCGGGTATTGATCGGTATCAGAGCGACTTGCTTTCAGTTGTTAATTCGCTCGTGCCATCTATAAATGAACTAGATCTTCATATCATCAAGTCATGTTCATGCAATGGTAGCTGCATCAGATATTCTCTAGTCAAACTCTTGAGGCTTTCTGGCTATGATGCTGGTGTTTGTGTTTCTAAATGGGCTGGCCATGGCAAAGTTCCTGGAGGTATATAGCCCCGTCTCTAGCTATCCATTAATCAATCACCCTTCATTCATAAGTAATTGTCTTTTGAACACGTTGCAAACCAAAAAGTGTTGATGGATGTGAAACCCAACGAGGGCTTGTTCTCTTCACATGATTTGATTCGTTCTAATCTGATCTTATTGTAGTTATATTTAAAACTGTTTCTGATCCGATCTGACGTGGGTTGCTTCTGCATCTTCAGGGGAGCATGAATACATTGACGTCATTAATTACAGTAGCCATGGGAACTCGGAGCGCGTGATCATCGATGTCAATTTCCGCAGCCACTTTGAGATCGCTAGAGCAGTTGAATCATACAACCAATTGCTGGATTCCCTTCCAGTTGTCTATGTTGGCTCTTTCACAAAGCTCAAACAATTTCTTCAAGTCATGGCAGAAGCTGCCAAGTCATCTCTCAAGCAGAAGTCCATGCCTTTCCCTCCTTGGAGATCTTTAGCTTACTTGCAATCAAAGTGGCAGTCTCCATACCAGAGAAAGCTCGTTCCAGACGGCAACTGGAGAGCTTTCACTGCCCATGACAGGAAGTGTGTGCTTCTTTTGCAGAAATTACAGTCTACGCTTGGAGGAGAACGAGCACTCAGGTCTGTGAACAGTGACAGACCACGGCTGAACTTGGGGAGGAAGATGGTTCTGTTTTGCTAGCAAGTAGAATGAGCACATCAATGTTCCTACACGAGCCTTTTCCTCATTTGATAGAGGGGTATAATACAATATAGGCTGATTTCCTTCATTTCTGTCATTTTAGTCTCTGTAGATTGCTCCTTAATGGCAAGATGTCCATTCACTGTTTGCAAATAAGAAGAAAAAGAGGATGATATAGTTTCTAACTTGTTTTAATTCATGTAATGCTCTCATGTTTATGTCAACTTCTCAATATGTTTAGTCAAAATACTCCCTTCTTTCCTTAATTTTTCATTTGCACTCACATGGTCAAGCTAGGAAAATACTTTTGTTCCCATGGTAACCAACCTACACTTCAGATCTTCTCTAAGAGGGAAGGCTTGAGATTTTTTTTCAAGGTCTTGAGTTCGAATCACCCTACTAATAAAAAGAATTTACTTTCAACAATTAATGAGACTTCAATTTTGTTTATGAAGTTATTACTAGTACCGAAGACGCTCACAAAGGATCCAACCCAAGTTGGGCATGTCACACCAGTAAGAGCAAGTATACAAATCAGCTCCCCCCCATCTCTCTTGGTTCTTTTGATTTTGACTAGCACGGTCATCCTCTTGGTTCTTTTGATTTTGACTAGCACGGTCATTTTTTTTAAATACTAACCCCAAATTACGGATATACATGTAATATCAATATGTTTATTTTGAAATGAAATTTTAAAATATCATATTTTTATAATATATATCTATAAAAAAAAAATATATTAGTGTGCAAAGTGTTGTATTGAAGACTGTTCAAATCAAAATTGAAACAACCAAGAGGGACAAAGGGAGTAAGTCATAGGTCCAAGTTGGAGGTTGGAGTTTTATGTGATGGGACCGCAATGTGGTGTGTTGGAATTTCGGTGAGTCGAGTGAACTGGATAGAGTATTGGATGAAATTTAACTACTTCCCATATAAAGTCTGGATTCACTTTCTATCCAAAAGCTTAAGCTAATGGGTAGAGCTTCATCTTTCTTTATATGAGAGTGTTATTTGTTTGATTTTTTCAGGGGGGGGGGTGAATCCCAACACACAGTTTCCAACACCCCCTTCAAGGAGGAACTAGTCTGATCTAGTTACTACTTGGATGAATGAATGTGTTTAACATCTCAGTCTCTTTATAGCTAGCATGGTGAATACCAGGATGAATTGAATCTAAACCGAACTTGGCTCCGATAACATGTTGGAATTTTGGTGGGTTGAGTAAATTGGATAGAGTCTTTGGTGAAATTTAACCACTTGCCCATATAAAGTTTTGTTTATTTGTTATTTTTCATTAAATATTTGATAAAATAAAATACTTTTGTCATCTCTCGTTTTGTAGAACTTTGACGTAATTCTTTAATATGTAATTTTTATTTCTTATTGAATACCAATTTGCCTCGTAACTCTCAATTTGTAATCAAATTAGGAACAAAAAAATTGTATTTATTTGGATGATCATTTAATTGAGTGGATTTTTAACATTTAAAGTCTTTTAACGTTTCCAACTCTTGTAATTTTTCAGCTTTTTCTTGTTTCTCCGACTCTTTTTATTTTATTTCAACTAGGGCTGTCAACGGATAGCCGAAAATCCGATTATCGTCCGCATCTGTATCCGTTTAAAGAGGAAATATCTGCATCTGTTTTAAACGGATATTATCCGTATCCGATTAAGGATGTCCGATTACTAAACGGATACGGATTTGGTAATTGTATATCTGATCTGTTTAAAATGCGATCCGAATATGCATCCGTTTAAATAACTGTTTATCCGAATATCTGATCCGTTATATATAGTTTTTCCTAATTTTTTATGTTTATATTTTGTTTCTCTATTGATATTTCAAAATATAAAACATTTTTATATATACAAAATAAATGTGTAGACACATAAAAATATATGCAGACATTTAAAAATATGTGTATATGTGTGCCGTGTATATCTTTTTACCATATAAAGTTATCATAAAATATCATAAATCATGAAAATAAAGAAAATAAGTATCACATACCAAATTATAGTTGATTTAATAATAGTTTGACTTTAATCTAATTTAAAATTAAAGTATTGTTTAATTTGATTTTAAAAATTGAAAACGGATACAGATATATCCGATATCCGACGGATGCAGATACGGTTTTGATTTTCAGGATCCGTCAAGATCCGTATCCGAATTCGATATCCGACAAAAATAAACCGATACGGATTTGGTAATGACACATCCGATCCGATTAATATCCATTTACACCTTTAATTTCAACATCTAATCCAGAAATTGTATCCTAAAAGAACACGAGTTAAAAAGAGTGAGTGAATAAATGAAGGGGGGAAAGCCGGCCTGAAAAATGAAGCGGAGTGTCAAAGACGTTCAAAGAGAGGGTCACAAAAGTCGTGTTTGTTTTGAATTTCTCGTGGCAGAACATCAAAAGCCCACACCAGTACCTCCTCTGCCTCTCTGTTCCTTTTCTTCCACATCTTCTTCATCATTCCATTTCTTCATTTCGATTTTACTCCCCCAATTCATTGATAATCCGACAGATCCACATCTCTGCAACCCCCCGCCGCCGCCGTCCATGGCGGAAGAAGACGATAAACAGGCCAAGAAGAAGAAGAACAAGAAGCAGAAGCACCAGCACCCCAATGACCAATCCGCCAAATCTTCCTCAGATTTCGCTTTCAAGCCCTGTTCCGAAGTAAAGGGTCTCCGATTCGGCGGCCAGTTCATCGTCAAGTCCTTCACCGTCCGCCGCGCCCGCCCGCCGGAGCTCCTCCGCCTCCTCGATCTCCCGCCTGCTCCGCCCAGCGCCAAGCCGGCCTTCCGCTCCACCACCGCCTTCATGCCGACCAATTTCACGATCTTGGCTCACAAGGCGTGGCACACCATAACCCTAGGCCTGGGGACGAAGAAGACCAAAGTGGTGATCTTCGTGTTCGACTCCGAGAGCATGAAGTCCGCCGTGGACCGCCGCTGGCCGCCGGAAATTGCGCTCGGGGAGGTGAACAAGAAGCTAATCCGAGGGCTGAGGGACTGCGAATTGGCGCGATTCAAGTTCAGGAAGGGCTGCATCACCTTCTACATCTACGCCGTGAGGAATGTCGGGAATTTGGGGTTTTCCTCGGCGGAGGATCTGAGAATGGTTCTTGAATCGACGGTGGAGCTCAAGGATTTCTTGGATCACACGGAGATGTTGGCGATGCCGAGCCAGAAAAGCATCAAGCACGCCGCTCCGCCGCCGCCGCCGGTGGCCATGGCTCATTAGCCCATTTATGTTTTGTTTTTTTAAATACTCTGTATAATTTTCCAAATAATTTTCTCCTTGTAGTGATTTTTTTTGGTCTAGACCTATATTTTGGTTACATACTATTTTAAGGATTTGTGTACCAAAAAATACTACTCCTCTCGCCCATAAGAGTAAATTTTTAATTTCATGTAGTTAAAAATGTTAAAAATTAGAAAGTGTGACGACATTTGTTTGAAGGGAAAGAAATATTTTAAAACAATTAAAATAATTGTATTGTAACTTCATTTTTAATTGAAATTATTTTTAAATTATTTTATACAAAGTATAAAATTTGTTGTGAAAAAAAATTGATGTGAAAAAATTGATGTAAAATTAAAAAAATAAAAATTATATATTTAAAATTACATTCAATTGAAAATATTATTGAATTCTAATAGCTGGATATGAATTTTCAATTTCTCCATGACTACTCCTTAATATCTAAGTATAAATATAATCATTCACCTTTAATATGGGGAAGTGAATCTAGTGCAACTTTCCAACTCAACCATCTCAAATGCACTTTTGTGTTTAGTTAACATTCTCTCTAGAATAAGTCATGCATAAGCTCTATCAATGATTTCTAAGCCTATATGATGTATTATATACAAACCTCAAAAATTAATAAAAATTGTCTTTTGGTAAGGTACCTATTGTCTAAAAAGATTTATATTTCTCTACTGATATGAGTTTTCACGTAACTAAAATACTCCGTAACTTGTTTTGTTTTTGGTGATTTGTTAGACTTGGTTAGACATAAGAATAATAAAACTGATCAAAACAAATAACACCGTCAACATTAAAAAAATCTACAAAAAAGTTGTAAGATAATTATTTTATTTTGTCAAACAATCAAAAAATACAAATAAAGATTAAAGAATGTAAATAAAATTTAATTATGTGAATTTAATTTGAAAGAACCTAGATGGACGGATGGAGTATTTATTTTGTACTTTCTCACTAAAAGAATGTTAATAATAATCATACTATATGGGTTTTAGCCTACAATATTCTACGTGACTCTTTGTTTTTATTTTAGTACTTTCTTTGTTCTTAAAAAATTGACATAATTTAATATTTTTTGTTAAATTATGGCACATCTTGAATTTAAATTATGAAAAAAGTATATTTAGTTATAATATAAATTTAGTAATATTAGATATATCCCATTCTCACATACCTAGATTAGAACGAGTAAATCAGATTTATCTAATTTTACATCATTTTGTTGAAAATTAGAAATGTTCATCAATGAAAATCCTCCTCCCCATTTGTGAGTAGTTTAGAGACCACCAAAAGATAAACTTTCATTATATAATTTATTTCCTGTGTCCAAAAATGTTTTTTACATTTGACTTTTTTGTCAAATTTGTAAATTTTTTATTTTGCTTTGTGGAAAAATATATCGTACTATAATATAAATTTAATATCAATAGAGTATATTCCTAGTATAACGTAGTTTTTAAATATCAAATTTTCATAAAATATATTTATGCAAAAATATAGATAATAATGATCAAAGTGCAACATTGGAGATCATAAAAAATGTAATAAAAAGAACATTTTTAGATGGAGGAAGTATATTTTATGTCTATCTTGATGTCAAATTAAAACGTTTACAATAAATACAAGGGTCTAAGACTCTAGTACGGAGTAATTGTTTAGGTAATTCTTTCCCCTAAGAGCATGGTTTTAAATTCGAAATGACACGCCAAAAGGGAAAGCTAAGCATGTGCTAGATAAGCCATTGAAAAAGGTAATGATCACGTGAAAACATGAGCATTTAAAAATTAATAATGGCGACCATAAGATAAAGTGTATACATACTTAATTCTACATTTTGAAACAAATTATTTTGATATATTATTGAAACAATAAATGAAACAAATGTACAAATGGGTTTCAAAAATGCAACAACTAAATAAGGAGTACTATTTTGATATACTCCCTCCGTCCCCCTGTATTTGTCCACATTTGACTTTTGGAACTGTTCATCTAAGCACTTTGACTCGTCAAATTCTCTCAATGTGTAAGCCTAAATATAGTCATGTGTGATTTTGTTTGATTTGTCTTAACATATAGATTATTAATATATAATTTTTATAATTTTTTAATATACAAATTACAAGATAAAATGAATTAAAGAAGTGCATTGGATGGTGTGTAAAAATGAAAGTGGACAAATACAGGGGGACGGAGGGAGTATTATTTCTAAAATGTTAAAACTAAATAATAAAATTGTTATTAAATTGATATTTAAATTGTATTTTTTATATACGGAGTATATGTTATTAACTCGTAGAAATTCACTAAGTAAACAAATAAGTTGTGTGACACTAAACACCTGACATATCAACACATATACTCCCTCCCTCCCTCTAAGATTTTCTCGTTTTGACTTTTTGTGGTTTTTAAGAAGAGTTGAAAAAAGGTGAAAATTTACCAAAATACCCTTCATGAAAATGTATGGAGTGTATTGAATAAGGTGAGAAAGGTGTAATAAATAAAGTAAATGGGGGTAGTTGTGGTATTTTAAATGTTAAAAAAGTTAATGAGAAAATCTATGTGAGACAAATAAAAATGGCTAATGGGAAGATCTATGAGGGACAGAGTGAGGACATAATAATGGATTCAATAAGATTATACTCCGTATATGAAATGCAATATTCTCATTCTTGTTGTAGCCTCAAATGTCTAGACAATGTTTTCCTTGCTAATTTAGATTTTAGTACTCCCTCAGGAATGATGTTCCCACTTTGAATTTTCCTCATTTTTAAGAGGCATTGACTAGTGGCTTGAAAGGACTAAAATGCCCTTGCATTTTAAGGATCACCACAGCCCACCTCCCACTAGCACCCCTGCGGCCCTGCCCACCTCCAGTAACACCCTACTGCCGTCAGCCCCACCTCCCACCACTGCCGCCAGCCCACCACCACCCAACCTCCCACTGCCGCCGTTAGCCCCCACCTCCACATCCCACAGCCGCAAACATTGCCGGAGAGAGAGAAAAGGGAAAGAAAGAAAAAAGTGGAGGAAAAAAAAGATCTAAAAGATGGATCTAAAAGGAGAAGAGAAGATCTAGACTCACCATTACAGCTACTGCTGCCGTCACCATCACCGACACCACCGCCGTCATCATCGCCGATACACCGACACCGCCGCCGCCACCTCCGCCACCGCCGCTCTACACAGATCTAGAAGGGGGTAAAGAAGAAGAAAGAAAACGTGGGAGAAAGAGAAGAGGAGGAAGAGGAGGAGAGAAGAGAAGGAGGTAGAAGAGGAAGAAGGTGGCAAGTTGGGAAAGAAATAAGGAAAGAAAGGAAGAAAGGAAGAAAAAAAGTGGCGGAAGAAGGAAAGAAAGGAAGGAAAAAAAGAAAGGAAGAAAAGAAGAAAGGATGAAGGATGAGGGTAATTTTGGAAGAATAGAGAAAGAAACGTACAACGGGAACATCATTTCCGGACGGAAAAAAACGTACAATGGGAACATCATTCCCGGACGGAGGGAGTATATTTTAAAAATTTAACATTGCTTTGTTGTGCTCAATGCTCATATCACATCATTTCTAACATTCAAAGTTTATTTCACCTATCATACTTTAATATTTTACATACTATCAAGAATATATCTTGATAAGATTGAAAAAGTTGGTATGAATTTGTACAAGATCAAGAGAGGAAGGTTAAGGTTGATGTTTCAAGATTGACTCTTCACAACGGCTGTATTAGAATTTTGTCTAATGTAATATCTTCTTCTGTGCACCAAGATAAGACAACTACTTCACAAAAACTACACTAAGATTATACCATTATTCTTACTCGTTAATGATCTGTTGAGTCCAATAGTATAATTGGTTGTTCCTCAGTAGTCATAACACATTGACATATTTAAATTATTCAAAAAAAAAAAATATTGACATATTTTAGGGTTGTGGTTGGGACTGACAACTGTGTTTTGAGCGGCAGAAACAAAGGAATGGGCAAAAATGTGATGATGGGAAAGATGAACTGTATAGGGTCAACTCTGTAATTAGACGAGAAATGTTGGTCTGTTGGGCTTGAGTTACGGCATGCAGTGGTAGGTCCATTGGGCCCGTAACTTTGGTGGTACATAAAGTTGCCACCAGAAAACGTTAAAAAAAAATGGAAAACTCGCCCACCGTGGGGCTCGAACCCACGACCACAAGGTTAAGAGCCTTGCGCTCTACCAACTGAGCTAGACGGGCTCGTTGCTGTACTGGATCACAAAAGATTTTTTTCTTGTTCTATAGTCGATTTTAGCCACTATCAATAATTTAGTTAGTTAAGTCATACAAGTATAAGTATCAAGACCTATATGTCTCACTATTTTGAGATATGAGAAAGTGACACGTAAACTGAAAAAAGTAAATTACATGGCTAGTATTCATATTAAAAAATAGAAAAAACAAGATTGAATGAGAATCACACAAGTATGATCAAATATGATATAAGACAAAAATAGAGAAACATAGAAAATTATAAAAATAAATAAAAAATAGTGGGATGAAAGAAGTATAATTTTTATATGCAAAAATTAGTGTTAAAAGCATTATCATTTTGAATGTGAATGTTTTGCTTATAATTAACACATACCTTCTTCATTCTTAGATAAACGCAACAAAGAAGAGTTTGACATCACCTATTTACCTATATTTGAATATTTGATTTTTTTATTAGTGCATAGAATAAAACATAATCCTGTGAGATTTTCATAAATTTATTTATATATACGTTTTTCAGTATCAGTTTTTTATTGTTTTTAGTAACATAATTCAAGTTACTAATTTGTTTTAATTAACAATCTGGTTTAAAATTACCACGAAGTTTTGATATTAAGTTTATGTATTTTATAGGGATTGTATAATTTGGTATGTCTCAATAAAGATATATTCCCTCCGTCCTTATTTTGATTACAATATTCCCTCTTCTTCTTGTTCCAAATTTGATTACAATATTTCTTCTTTTTCTTCTTTTGGACAAAATTACCCCTTTTCATATCCCTATCTACATCCACGTGCCCCCACCCACCTTCCATATTCCATATCCACATTTCAATCTCATATCCCACCCACCTTCTCAAAAGGACGGTACAATATGGTAAAGTGTCGTATAGAGCACTAATAGCAATGGGGGTATTTGGAGAATTTTCTTTTTGATATGACTTAATAATAAACTTGTCAAAAAAGGAATATGGTAATCTAAATAGGGACGGAGGAAGTAT